GGGGCAGGGAAGCCCATGCTCCTGCCAGAGACTGGTCGAACAGTCCAAAAGGAGGAGGAGTGTGCACCGGCTGGTAAGTTGATCCAGCTGGGGAGATGGAGTAAGGGAATGTCCTGCAAGTTCCACATGTATGAACCAGCACAAACCTCCAAACCCACGTTCCTCCAAGATGTTCAGTGCTAGTTCCATCCTGCATTCTTCCTGGACTGACAAAGGATTTGGTCATGGGTCTCCCAAGTAAACATTCTATCCACACTGGTTCTCACTAACTGATGTTTAAAAAGCACTGCTGAAAAGTTCTATGCAATGATTAAACAAATTGGAATAAACAGAAATTGTACTGCCATAGCAAATGCTACTACATTACCTCGGCCACAGCTAGTTTTTCATTGGCTCCTCTCAATTCTTGAGTCATAGTGTTGATTATCTGTTCTTGTTTTTGAGTAGTTGCGGTAAGCTTCTGGATTCTCTCATGCAATGATGTTATCTCCCGCCGGTATCCCTCAACATTATCCTGCAGCATTGCATAGCTTAACAAAGAATAGCAAAAGTAAGTTTTTGCTTCAACTAAATCAGCAGAACAAAATCAAAGAAGGAAAAATATGTGCACGGAGACCAAAAGAATCCAAAGGGAGCATTCACTGGGCTTTGCTGTGATTAAGCTACATGACAAAAATTTGGGCTGCAGAAATTGCCAAATACATCTGCTAAATCTTGATTTGGTAAAACAAACAACATTTTGCAACCAAGCATTGCAGAATTGCTGCTCAATGCTTCAGTCTGCAGGATTTCCTGTGGTCTCCCCTTCCCCACAAAGTATTAGGCAGGATTTTATGCTCACCAACTATTTTCTCTCTTCATTGAGGTATTTTTTTAAGCATTTCTCCTTCAGTTGGGCTTCATTGTCAGAAAGTGAACACATGCCTAATGCCACTTATATTAAAATTCTGAACTTCTTTATTAATTTCTATGAACAACCCTTATTTCTTTATCTTGGGACATTTAAAAATACCAGATTTCAGTTTAAGCCAGGACTACTCAGATAGCAAAAGAGTTTACTCTGAATTTTTTGTATATGTTTGTCTCTTAGTGCTGCACAACCCTCTGAGGTATCCTGCCCACCTACAAGAGGTTACATCAAAATTTGGGTTAGAACGTACAAAGAGTAACATGTATTTAAAGCACGGTGCAGGAGCTTTTTATTTGCGTTCATAAACATTGTCTTACCGCTTGGAGGCAAATTCAAGCTGGGTAGAAATCTTGGTATTCTGAGACCTCAGGTCCGTAACCTGTTCCTGGAGCTTCTCATTTTGTTCATTGAGCAATTTGTCATTCTCTGCCTTTTCTTTCTTATAGCTCTCAAAAAACTCCTGCAACTGTGAAAAGTGTGGAACATACACCAAGGTAAATATTGGGTTGCGTGCAAACCAGAGTTAATCTTGTGTAGATGGAAAAGGTGTACTGGACAAAGATCAGTTGGTACCTGCTTAAGGGCAGCCTTTGCTTCCACTGCTTCTGTGGACTCTGTCGCTGGTATGGCAGCTGGGGTCGACATAGCCTGTGGCGTACCTGACAGGCGCTTAGGGGTTGATGTCAGAGACATTTCTTCTGGTGAGCTGCTTGGAGCTACATAAAATACAAAACCAACATCTCCGTGTCAAAGAGGAAAGCAAAATACCCTGTATATATTTATTATATCTATTATGATCCTTTCTTGTATGAGTTTGGAGAATACATTTCCTCCCCACTTCACCCTCTTTT